GGAGGGCGGGGGGAGGCGGTCCTGTGCCACCACGGCTCTGCTGGCAGCTATGCGAGCTGGCAGGAGCAAGGCTCAGCCTGAGACGTTCGGACACGCCGCAGTCTTCCGTAAAGGAACCCCGTGCCTCAGTTTCCCTGTCTAAAATGCAGTACATCACCTGTCTCCCTCTTCTTCATCAGCAGTGCCCAGAGGCCCTGGTGAGAGTCTTCAGCTGGCTAGTCACTGACCAGATGGCAGAGACCCCTTCTTTGCTATTGCTTTTAGTAATTACAGGAGAGGAGAGATGGCTAGAGCAAGCTGGGATCAGGCCAGCATGGATCAGGATGCTGATGCTTCTCCTTTCCCTGGGTCCTGTGTAGCCAGATGTGCACGTGTTGTCCTGGCAGTCTGCCTGGCCCTTGTCGGATGCCATGCCCAGAGAGCTCTGCCAAGCGTGCAGTTCCGGCAGCTTGCAGGTCCCCCAGCTCTGCTGCCTACACAGACAGGCACCAGCCCGCAGACCCTCCCTGAGGTTCATTTGCACTTGGATATGCACAGCCCCTCTGGAAAGTCAGCTGTCACAGCTCGCTGGCACGCAGGGCGCCGTGGGGTGAGCCCGGTGCAGACACCCGGGCAGGGCAGGCTGTGCTGGGCACAGTGGGGCTAATCCAGGCAGGTCCTGTGCCAACATGGCGCTGCTGCTCCTGTCTGCATGGCCCCAGCTAGTATCTGCAGGAAGGAATTGAAAATCAGACACAACTGCATGGCTGGACCAAGCCTTGCCTTGCCCATGTCATTTGTCAACTGTTTTTTTCAAGCCTGGGAAGTTAAGCAAGGACCTTGCCTCAAAATCAAATCCCAGGGGGTCTATTGACCTGCAGCAGCTGGAGTTTGGTACCAGGGAACTGCAGAGCAGTGGCATCCTTGAATAACATTCAGAGTAAGATCTATTCATCTATTTTGTTTTCAAGTGTGTCTTTCACTCAATAATATGGAGCTTGCTGCAGAAACTCGCTGAAGCTGGTATTTGTCTTCTTCAATCTCCTGGCCAGGCCCATGCTTTTCTACTTGGCTGCTTTGAAGGACATAATGTGCTTCCAGATGCAGAATGACCCCAAAGGCAGGTCCCAGAAAACAGCCTGCAGACCTCAGAGCACTAATAAAGCATGGGTGGTGCCCCATCTCCTCCTGGGATCTGAGCACGCAGCAGCAGAGCCGGGCTGACCTCTGTGCTCAGCTCCCTGCTGATTTTCAGCTTCTTTGGGCACTGGTGCAGTAGCACAGACCTGTCCTCACCTGAACAACCTGGGCTGAGACTCAGCTGATCTACATTTGCGTGTGTGGTACGTAGGCATTGATATCTGATGTAGTCAGCCAGAAAGAGCTGCTTTTATAGGGCACAGTTCATCTGATCTGTTCTTAGGCAGATGTCTGCTTTGCAATAAGTCACCCCCAAAGTGTCTCTTTCTCCCCAGTGACTACACGGGGAGCTTGCAGCAACTAGCTCAGACAAGGCAAGTGCGGGTGAAGCCCAGCAGGCGCCAAGCCTGTGTTCAGCCTTTCAGCTGGAACCTTGCAAAAGGCCTATTGTGGTTGGGGATCTCAGACAACTGATCAGCCAGGGCATGTGCAATATGCAGTTGTGGCTGCTTGCTGTTAAAATGTTATTTCCATTATGGTGTTGCAATCTGGGTCTCATAAAATAACCTAGCAGCTAGATTCTTTGCTCAGGAGAAGGAGGATCGTTCCCCTTGTCTGAGCCCCCTTCTCTGAGGGGGTCCAAGCCCCCTGTCCTGCTCCTAGTGAGCAGTCACGAAGTGGCAGCCTCCTGGGCAGACATTCTCCATCTCTGCAGCTGAAACTGTTCTCCTGTGTAGGTCTCTTGGAGACCATGAACAAGTACAGCATCAGCACTTTTACATACCTTGATATAAATGAAGTTATATGGCCAGAAGCTGAGACTTCTGATGTTTATTGCAAGAGCTATTTATAATACCAACATGAAAGGAGAGCATTTATGCGTTAGAAGTACATTCACTCTGCAGAAAAGCACCAAAAATCAGTAATATGATCACACATAAACTACTGGGGGAACTAGACCCAGTCAGGAAAAGTGACCTGTGTTCTTTCATAATCACTCTTGAAACTTTCAGAGTGATGTTAATCCAAAGGTCTCAAAGCACTTCAGAGATGTGTAATAGGTGGAGACACAGCAATCAAAAGCTGTGGCAGCATTCACACTGATTTTTGTAGACTTTGGATAAAATTAATGTCTAACGTGTAACAGGCAGCTGGATGTCAGGAACTGTTGCCCCCAGCCACTCTGCTTGAACCACCAGGCGCCTTTCTTCCTCTTCTAGTCTCACCTTATTGGTGTCATCGCTCTAAAATAAATGGCACCGAAGTCCATACCGTGTAACTATATGCACAGAGACTAACAGAGCTGTTGAAGACTAGAGAGGCTGTTCCCATCATGTAGTCTGACCCTCTACAGCACACAGCAGCCGTTCTTGACTTCTGAAGTCTTCAAATGATGGAAAGGCCTCAGTCTTAGCTAATTGTTCCAATAATTAAATGCTTTTATTGTCTAGAGCCTGCACTTAATCCTTGCTCTCAGTCCATCTAGTGTCAGTTTTCAACACTGAATCTGTGTTCTCAGACACTTCTGAATGAAAAAAGCACAAAAGCTGATTTAGCAATTAGATGGTTTCCAACATTTAAAGCTGTACTGCACAGCATAAATATTAAAATCTGTATTTTATGAAGTGATATATTTCTTTTACATATATTCAAAGTATCTTTTCATATATTGTTCCATACAATATGCAATAAGTGTACATCTAGGTCAGTCAGTTCTGTCTTCTCTGCTTTTGCTCTACCAAAGACAGGTGAAAGAAATGAATGGCTGTGCTTCAGTGCAGTGAGACCCGAATTCATTCTTGATTCCTTCACAGGGAGGAAAGTCAATAGGCATAGGGGCAGTTGATAGGAAAATTGTGCTGCTTTTGCATAAAGCTGATGCTCCAATAAAGCCTTGTTATTCCTTGATTTTGTAGATCCCGAGCAAGGAAAGTGGTTTTGTGCATGGCCAAAATAAGGTCTTACAGTGAAGATCAGGATGAAGAATTAGTTGGAGCTGGAGGCCAGCATTGCATGTATTGAAGCAACAGTGTGAGTAAGGAAGGACGTAGTTGTGCTTTATGGTCAGCACACTTGTTTCCCCATGCAGCAAGTCGCATGGGACTCACAAGACGCCTTATCTTGCCTGAACCTGCCCCCAAAAGGCCAAGTACACCAGCTAAACTCACCTCAACTGGACAGAGGCATCCTGGGCAGTGTTAGCTCTTAAATCTGGCAGCTCTTAGATCCATGGTGCCTCTTTGTAGAGCTGTCAGTTGTTCAGAGGTTAGAGTATATGAGCACCACTATGAGGGTAGTTGCTTTTCACCCAGCTGTTGGCCAGCTGGGAGAGACTACAGCACCAGCAGTGTTGGCCATGACAATGTGTTTGCATACATGGATGGTCAGAGCATGCTGTGATACCGTGTTACACTGCTGTTGGGGTTTTTTTTCCTGAGAAGGAAGGAAAGAAGTTTGTGCAGTTCAGCAGCAGGAACAGTAGTAAAGAAAGATGAGTTTTCATCCATCTCTTTCCAGGTTTCCTGGCTAAAACTACAGCTTGTCTCTGCCTCCCCTTAAAAAAAGGTAATTATCTCTTAATCACAAAAGTAGAATGAGAGAAATTGAGGAAGCAGAGCGGCTGCCCTAGAGAAATGCCCAGGAAAATAAATACAAAAGCCTGTGTGTCTTCCTGTCATGAAAACAATGCAGCTAACTTCTTCAGGTAACGAAGACTTAATGTTTGTAGGTGCCAGGCGTGCCTGAGGGTAGCTTGGTGTCAGAGTGATAGAAAGATCAGAGTTACAGCAGTACTACCAGTTACCACAGAATTTCTCTATGTCACTGGAAAACCACCTGCAGAGAAATAGAATATATCGTATTTACAGCAAACTAATGCAAACAATGGTGGGTTGGAGCTCTGAATGTGTGGCTAGCCTTGTTGGTGCTGGAGAGTCAAACAACACTATAACAACCGCCGCAGACACAGTAAACTGATAACACGCTCAGAGGGGATAAATCACTCTTTCCTATCTCTATCATTGTGGTGTTCATGGCACACTGGGTTTCTGATTGCACAAGGAAATGGCATTTGACTGAAGACATTTGGTGTTTGTAAGGGAAGTTGTTCCTGAGCCAAACCACTCCTTTGGAGCACAGCAAAGAGTCGCAGCACCGTGACGGGTGGTTTTGTAAAACGTAGGATCCTCAGTGAAATTACCCTGGGCCTCTCCATCCAGGTCCTCCGTTGTACGACAAAAAAACAATGTATGTGACAGATTGGATAAAATCTTCACTGACTGTCCCTGCTCAACTTAAACCAAGTATTTTCTTTTGCCACCTGATAGCAGTCCCTTGCCACCAGAAAAACTTTTTGTAATCAGGAAAGAAAAGAAGCCAAGACATGGAGTATTAAGTAATCATTTATAATTCATTTTCTTCAGATTAAAATAATTTTCTGAAATCTTGTAGGGTTTGCTTGTTTTATATCAGGTTCTTAGACAGCACTTACATTACACATGCCCACACTCAGAAAAGATTATTTCACCCCATGTGTTTACTGTCATTATTCTTTTGAGTGTGTTCCACTTGATTCTGTAAAACATTAAATACGCCAGAGGAAATACCAAAGGTGAAGATCTTGAATGCTGCTAGTGTTACAAAAGATAAATAGGCTGAAAGCGTTGACACGACAGCCTGAGATACCATAACAAGCTGTGGGTTTTCTCCACTCCAAAACTGCTTTCAAGCCATGGTCTTTTCTACAGCAAGATGGGAGGGCGAGGAAGGGCTGAAATAAAATACTGAATGAGAAGAAAATATTTTTGGCTTTTACCAGCAAACTTTTCAAGCCTGATGTGCTTTTCACCCATTCTGCTGCTCAGCAGAGTCAGGAGAACCCATTCACTGGTGAGAAAGTATGTCCGTGTGTACGCTGCCCTCCCCAAAGGCAGTCAGAGGATATGGCCGGGGGGGGTTGGGGGTGCAGAGCTCTTCCAGACAGAAACTGCCAATGGCTGTAGCCCAGGGGGAGCAGATGCTTCTGTCTGTGACTCTGCTTTCGTTTCCTCTTCTCCCCCTTTCACGTCCTTCCCTTCTCTCCCACTCTTACCTGCACCTGCCAAAAGTAAGTCCGGCTTCATCCTGCCTTTGGGTCCAGTTTATGCAGCAATGGCCACCTTATGTTTTGCAGCTAAGATATATATAGAGAAAATCACAGCTGATTCTTTGGCTGTTCAGAGCAGGGTTTGTTTGGGAGGCGCCTTGGAGTCTCATGCACTCTGCTTTAAGGCTGGCTTAATGGCAACACAGTGTTCATTTTGGAAGAGGAGGTCAGTATCTGCCTTGGGGGGCTGGTGAGGATAACCCCCTGTCCTCAGACTCCTCTTTCTGCTTTTGTAATCTCAGCCCATCCTGGCCTGATGTTTCTGATTGCCGTGCCAAGGGCTTGGCAGCTGCTTTTGTCTCTGCAGTCGGCTCTTTCCTCTTCTCTGAAGGCTTTTTTTGGCTTGGTGCCTCTACTCTGTCTGTCCCTTGGCCACTATCGTCTGTGGCACTAGATGTTACCTGCACAGCCGGCTCCAGTTGAAGGGAGCTCTTCTTCCACCTCCGGGCCCCTGACCGTGTATTGAATTCATACATTTTGCCAGTAACTTGCAAGGAAAAAAAGCAACCGATTAAAATCATTCCTGCTTTAGCAGATTAAGACATGACAGTTCTCCTCAGGATGGGGTTGAAATGAGAAACGTGAAGCACCTGGAAAATCAGCTGAGTTGGGGAGGTAGCCCTGAGAGGGAAAGCCTCATTTCTGCAAGCAAGTGTGGGGACCTGGGTGTCGTGGTGGCCGCTCAGGGGAGATGCTATTCTATCAGTATAAAAACTGGCTCTGCAGTTCGGGGAATAGGAATATTCAAAACATTCCTATTCCAAAAAAAGGACCTTCTTATCATCCTATACCTGTATCCAAGTTACGGCTACCATGGGTTAACGTGGGCAGTGTAACAAACACATCCATAGTCCTTAGCTGTTAGCACTAACTCTCCCAAAACTTTTGCCTTTGGCCATGCTGAGCAAGGCCATTGTATATGTTTGTGCCTATTTTTTCAAGTAGAGTTGCCTACCTGAGGTGGCAAAACCTGCTAGGAGCACAATATGCTACATACATCTTCCAGACCATGTCAGGTTGTCTAGGTTGACCCAAGATTTGGATATCTGGGATCCCCAATGAGTTTTGGCTGTATGCATTGCTTCTCCATTTGCACAAAATACTTTCCTCCAGGCTTGCTGTGCACATTGTCATTAATAGAGTGAAATATTATATATTTTCCATTTGTGCAAGTACATGCTTCCCTCATATATATAAAATATTGTTAAATTTGGGTTGTTTAGCACACATGGCTACCTTTCCTTGATAGAAAGATTTTGTACATTAAAAGCAAGCATCTGCTCCTTCAGTTCATTTACTGTCTAGAGATAGGTGGAAAAATTGCCATGGGTCCAGTGTGATTGCCTCACAGTCTAAATCACTGTCTCTTGCTAAACAGACAATCAGGAGCTATAGTGGCACTTCTGGTAATTAAACATTATTAATATGAGACAAACAAAAGACCATTAAGGGCTGGAAAGAAATGGAGGTTACGTGTTACTACATGTTACAGTTTGTGTCGGAATTAATGGTTTCTGACACATTAACACAATTTGAGCAATTAAAGATGAAACTGGATCTCTTTACATGTTATTTTTTCTGACTGCTTGTTAAAGCAGCCCAGATCAGGAAGCAGCTCCTGACCATCCCTCAACAGGTGATGTCCTGGGAATTATTAAATGTCATTTCCAAACCGCCAGCACTTGATCCTCTAAGGTTTCGGATGAGCCGTGGAGGGGAGAGGGGAGGAGTGGAAAGCACACATTTCTCTGCTGACACGACAAAGCTGTGTTATAGCTTAATGTTTGTGTCAGGCAAGACACAAACGCTATGGCTCTGGAGGGCAGTTTGGATGGGCTCAGATACCCTTAAGTCTGGTGTGGTCAGGTTTGCTGAGGAAGGGAGCCACCAGCTCTCCTGCAAAAACACCGGGAAGCAGCTTTTGCAGTGGCCTAGAGAACACCCGTGTTTAATATATTACAAATGCAGTTACACAGGGAAAAAGCAGGGACTTTGGAGCCCATTCCTCCAGATCTCTTTATAAATAGCAGGTGGGCTTGGACCTGGACCAAACTGGCCTTGAGCAGCCTTGTGGATGGGCTTAATTGCGCAGTAGGGTCCCATTTGTTTGCCCAAATTCTACTGAAGTCCCCATGCCTAGTGTTTCGCATTAGCTGATGGCATCCGACAGCTCTGAGCCAGCTAATAAGAAACACAAGGTACAGGCACTTGGGTGGAAATTTGGCCAGATGAATCCAAGCCTTGAAACAAGCCTGCCTTCCTCTGGATAATTTTTAGATGTATTTTTTCAGACCTATTTTCGGATGTATTTGTTAAAGACCTATTTTAACTGACTGCCACATTTTACCAGCCACCCCTCTCCATGCTGAGACCCTCAGCCATTAGACGCAGGGCTGGGCACCCTGATACCAGGCCAAGCATCACGGTGCGGGGCTCAGGCAGGGGCTGTGGTTCAGGGGGATGAAGTAAGGCGGATCAACCCTTAGAAAAAAAAAAATTTTCTGTAATGAACCCTGCTGCAGAGCACAGTGGCCATCACCTGGGGAAGGGGATAAGCACTACACCTCCTGGGTCATCCTGGTTTTCCTAGCTTTCACCTTAATTTCACTTTTCCCAGCTGGTTAATCAGATATGCTCAGATTTAGCATAGCTGGAGCCTGGTGACTCACTCAGTAGCTGATGCCACTACAACTGTATCTAAAAGCAAATGGTCTTCCCTTTCCTCCCCAACAAGTGATGCCCGAGCCTTAGATAAACAGCAGCAATGCACTGTTGCTGCAAAGGAGGAGGTTTGGGCAAGAATGAGTAACTCACCCACCCGTCCTGCATCCAGGGAGAGGTTTAAGAGACGAAGTCAGTACATCTGCAGCTACATTAATCTGCCGGCCGTTTCCCAGACATGGGAAGGGTGAAACCACGTAGCCATGACAGCACCAGACCAGGAGGCTTGCAGCAAATTCCTCCTCCCCGCCACCTTCCTATACCAGATCCATACATTCAGGTTTAACAGAGGAATAGTGAATAATCTGGCCATCGGATATGTGCTTTCAAGGGCCATAAGTATATTCTACCATTAGAAATGTTACTAGGGCACTGTCTTGATTTTCACTATCTGTGAAATATAGCTCCCATTCTCCTTGGAAACAGCAAATCTGAAATATGAAAAGCAAATGTCGAACCATATTTAAATCAACTAATCCAGTTTGTTTCCAGCCAAATATTCATATCCACTGTTTATTACCTGGGTCTCTGGCTTCTCCATCAAAGACAGTGTTTAGCTTTGTCATTGTCTGTGAAGAGAGACAAAATGTGAAATGAATCCTGTGAATTAGTTAAGTAAGAAGGAGGAGCATTGACTTGGAAATGGTGACCTACATGGATGGAGGTGGATTTGTATGACCTGCATATTACATTCCTGTAGGCTAGGTTTAGTCAAAACTGGCAACAAAAGCCATTTGTGGTGTAGGGTGTTGCCACTAGATGTTCAAAGGAGAATTAATAAGGTCTGACATGCTAAATGCCTCCACGTGTGTATCCACAAGAAGGTCACCTCCGCCCAGAGGAGGCTTGGGAATCCCCTGTCTGACGAGCTTGGGGAGGGAGAGTACACTACTGAAAGTGCCTTGCAGCCTTTATGCTATTATGGCTATGAAAAAGGAAGGAGCCCCAGGATCTAGGAGCAAAGAAACATCTATTACAATGGAAATAACTACGGCATTTTCCTGCAAACGGCTTATCAAGACCAAACTCTTTACAGCTTGGGTGAACTTGTATACCTTACTGGTTGCACTCAGGCGGGTCAGGGTTAGCTGCACAGGTCAGTGGTGTCTCAGCAGTGCAACATTGCCATCGGTGAAGCTGGGGCACTTGTCATCCTGCCTCTGCGGCTGCAGCAAATCCCTCCCACATACGGGGCTGCCAGAGAGGCTGGAGAAATTGGCACTTGGAAGCAAAGGGGCCACAGCGCGGGTGAGCACCCCTCACACCCAGTGTTGCCTCCAAATACAGAGGCCAGATGGGGCACTGAAGTGTTTTGTGTTTGGGGGCAATCCCATTTTCCTCGCCTATCATTTTTATATTCTCTTTGGAAAACAGACACCTTTCATAGAAAGGGTCCTACGATCATATTGCATGACGGGGCTGGGCAAAACGGGGTTTTGTTTTGAGGCTGGCAGTACTCACCACAACCATTTCTTTCTTAGGTTTCTTCTTTTCTACAGAAAGGAAAATGCACATTGTAAAGAATCAGATGTTTCTGACAGTGACTATAGACACTAAAGCCAAGATTTCCTCAAACAAATAGACATTCTTGGTACTCAACTTCTGAGACATTTCAAATGAGCCTTATTTCTTTTCAAAGGCTGATCCCTCATACTGTTTGAAACACGAACTCCTTCATAGTATTTTGGAGTGAGAATCCACAGTTGCCAATGACTAATCAAAAGTTTAGCCTTGAAAAGTCTTATTCCTTCAGTAATCAATAAATAACAATGGTTTCTTTAACAAATTTGCCTTTCTAAATAATATGAACAGATATAGAAATTCACCTTTAGGGATATTTGAACTACAAATGTAGTAGATTTTTTTTTTCCATAAATGTTTGTAGTCGCAAAGCTTGTGCACTCAGACATGCGCTTGGAGACAAAACAGGGAAGTGCTGCAGATCCAGTCAAGTAAAATTCAGATTGAAGAACAGTTTGGTTATGTGTGAATTTACCACACTATTAACTCATCCCACATGCAAACAAATGCAGCAGCAGTGCCACGGGCATCTTGACAGCATGCATTTGTGGATGATACCCAACTAGTTGCTATGATTTCTTCTTGCTCGCTCCTTACCAATTTGTTTAATGGCCTTTCTTTGGAGAACTGTATGCCTGGCCACCAGTGGGCTTTACAACCAGGCATGCAATACTCTAAAGTGCTGCAGATGGGTCTCAACCTGAGCACTGATGGGAAACCTGTTCTGTCTGGCCTTTGCTGCCCAGCATTTGGGAACCAGTTTTTCAGAAAGCATCAAGCATCCGTTTTTTGGAAACCAGCCAATGCTGAAATGTCTCAAATCGGGCAACCAAGAGAACAGCTAATTTTGTTGGGTTTTGTTAGTCATGTTTTTTTTCAAGCTGGGAGATACTGATTGAGGAGAGGAAGTTATAAAAGCAGGGTCTTGCTGAGCCCATATGAGCCATGCTTGCTAGCAGAAAGCTAATGGAACTAAAAGGAACAAGGCTGCTTAAAAAAACACTTTTTTTTTTATGTGCAACTAATACCCCTGCTAAGTTATACAACCCCCCTTTTAAAACACCAATACTTTAAAATAAATCTTCAGGTACATGAAGTAATGGTGTCAAGGAAGCAAATGAAGGGATCAGAGAACAGGGAATTAGAGTGGAGAGGGCTCTTGCAGGTGCTGTAGAGGGATGGGATTATTTTTTAACAGATAGCATATGAATTGCATGTGAAAAATACAATAATTCTCTAGCATCCATGCCAGAATACCAGGCTGCTCTGAATTTGGTTTTTACCTAATAGTTAATAGATTTGAAGACCAAAAGGACCATGAAATCACTTAGGCAGGCCTCCCATAATCAGCCAGGGTTATATAATCTCAGTACTTTTGTACGGGGTCAAATTTATTTGTCTAGAAATGGATTTACATATTTTACACTGAATCATAAACAAGGTCTTGTTATGAAGTATTAAAATATAGAAAAGAGGTACACACCTGGAGCATTTATCCTGTAATGAAAAACAGATTAAGAGCGTAGTTAACAAATGTCATACTTTTGCCTACATAAAAATATCATGCTTTGTTCTCTTTCATTTGGCAAGAAGGATGTGTTTCCTTGAGTTCTGGGATTTGCTTGATTTGTTTGGTTTCTGGTTTTGCTTTCACCGAGGTCCTGCATCATTTAATGCTGCTCTCAAACAGGAAAACAGCCCTGAGCATTGCTCTAACAACCCTCCAAGAAGGGATGATATTAAAAAAAGTGTCTTATTGATGATAGCATGATGAATTTATATAATCTGGAACAATATATTTTCAAGTATTGTCATCTTGTTCCATCCTTGGAGGAAGGTTAATTTTTTGGATCTGATGTGCTCAGATATTACCTTTTAAAATATTTGAAAGGTTGTAAATGTTTTTGAAAATACAGAAATTGCTTTTTAATGGGAAAGCCTGGCTCCCGATGAATCATTTGCCCTATTAATAAATAATAACAATAGCCAAGCTATATGCTGCTAGATTCATTTGTCATTTTTATCACAAATTGCTAAATTCCTTGCACACACCATTTGAATTATAATCACAGTCATATATTACCTCTTTACATTTACTATAATTTCTGAATTTAGGTCCAAATCCTGGTAATACTCACAGAAATCCTTTTTTTTTTTTATTCCAGTCCACTTAAAGAGCTACTTCTCTTTGTTTTGTGAAGTAAAAAGTCAATTTAGAGGCAGTCTGGCTCCAGCCCACTGAGAAGGCAGCCAGCGGGGATCTCTGCCCCTTCCCACAATGAACCAGAGCCGGTCCCAGGTGCTTCCATGGCTTTTGCCAAGCACGAGCACTTAGAGGTACCACGAAGATTTATGGGCCAGAGCCTTGCAGTGGGCTTGGGTAAAACTCCAGGAAATCTGCAGAAGTTCTGCCAGAACAAAGAATTTGGCATGAGCACCAAGGTTTGGAAAGGACTCTGGGATCCATAGCTGAGAGGGAGGAAAATGCATCCAGTAACTACCTAGATGGGAGCTCCCTTGGAGTGGGAGCCAAATACAAACCAAAAATGTGTGTATTTTTGGTCAGTGCAGTCAGGCACAGACTCTGACTGCACCTCACGAACATAGCTGCCTTTAGAGGTCACAATTGTTAATTCCACTATTACCTTCAGCTAATGCTATTGTTAGTAAATCCATGAAAAAAAATGCCATGGACATTCTTCCTTGATTTCATATAATTAACACCAAATATCACTGTGTTCAGTAATAGCATTTACTACAGAGAAGGGCATACCGCTATAAAATATTCAAAGCATAGATTTCATTATGGCTGAAAGGCCTGAGTTGTCTCTGTCATTGCCAGGTGTTGCTGGGTACTTCCCCAGCGTGACATTTGGGAGGACTCACAGAGGCGCGCTGTCTGCTTTGCCTGCCGGCAGGCAGCAGGTGCGGACCCACGTTGCCAGCAGGAACCCCAGGTACCCCAGCAGTCCGAGGAGCAGCAAACTGCCAAGGGTGATGACAAACGGCACGTACCACGCCGATTCAGAGTAGAGGTTTTCCCTTTTCGTCACAACAGTGAAGCCAGGCTTTTAAAACAAGATAGGAAAAGTTTCTCAAGGCTGCATACTTGTAAGGTTACTGACACCAATGGCACCTTTCATCTGGTTGAACATCGGCACTGAAGCACCTGGCCCAAGCTTGCCCCGGGGCTCTGCAGATGAAGGGCAGAGGGAGATAGTGTCTGCTGGAGACAGTGATTCATCCCACGTACCTGCCTGCTGACTGCCGAGGCAGCTCGGATGACTGAGATGGACCACTGAGCTCCTGGGGCATCGAAAGGCAGGTGAAATGGAGCCCACCCACAATGCAAAAAGAAGGTTCCAGATCATGTTTCAATGTCTTATATTAAAACAAGCATGCCATTGTGGGGTTTAAAAGCCTCAGGTTGCCTGAGAAGCTGCGAGTGAACTGTTGGAGGGTAAGCAAGTTCAGGGAATACTGCCATTACTGAGATAATGGTTTCTTGTTACCTAAGGCAAAACTGGAAGTAGGTCATCTTCACTGCAGTGATCATTCGGCCCCCTTCGTAAGAGGAGTTGAACCCCAAGGAATTTGGGTTATTGTATAAAAAAAAAATGAAGCTCCTTTTTTTTTACCCTGTGACTTGTTCCAGAAGGGAAAAAACACACTTCCTGAGCAGTTGCGATCTCCCACATCTTCCTGAGTGCTGACACGAGTGAGACACGGTTCTGAGCTGGCATGGCACTTGGTGTTAGCAACTCATTCATTAAGGTCCCATCATGAAACTGTCTTCACATGGATCAGAAATTACTCATCTGCTCTACCTGGATCATTACCTAGTGTGGTACTATTAGTTTTTATTTAATTTTCTGTAAGACACTGTGTATCAAATTTAGTAGGGTATCTATTTTTTTCCTGTTTAAGGATATGTTTAAAATAACTTATTTAGCCTTGCAAAAAAAGGTACATCCAGTCCTTAGAGAAATTCTCAGATAATCTCAAGATCACCACCACTACTCCATCCTCACTGGGACTGAAGTCACAAGTGACTTTTTGTGACGGGGCTTCTTTTCTACACTGCCAGCCTTCCAGCATCTGATTCATCAAGTTGCTGCACTGAACACATGTAAGGAGTAGTGATGAGAGAAGTTGCTGTAATGGTGCTCTTCTGTAAAATAGACTGAAAGTGGAAGGCTTATATTTCTGGAGAGGCAGATTTAACGCTGTGGTATGTGGCCTAGACTGTTTGTATTTGTGGTAAAGCATGGGAAAGAAATACAGAATAAGTTTTGTTATTCAGCTTAACTTTTTGTTTCCACATCAAGTAGGGGGAGGAGAAGGCTGTGAGAAAATCATTTATTCCTTCCCAACAGAGCATTCAATAATAACAGGGTTATTAATCAGTCTGCAAGTTTGGATTTCAGCATTTTCATAGCAAAGCATCCTGCTGTTTGCAGGATCCCCTGGTTCTGGCTCAGTTTCCAGTAGTCCCTAGCAGATCCAGACCATTTCACAGTGAATAGCTCTTTTACCCCTTCACCAGCATCCTCATATTTTCATTCCTGCACGTGAGGGAGAAAAGGGTAATGCCATCTGCAGGCAGGTAGAAAATGGATGGACTCTGGATGATGGAGAGATGGTGCAGCAAGGGATGAAGGCAGCAACTGGCACAAGGATGGGGACAGAGTGGTCTGTACCCTCAGACTGTGCCACTTCTGCAGGCAGGACAAAAGCAATCTCTCCTAACGTCCTGCACCAGCCTGATGGAAATCAGCTCCAAAACGAAACCGGCGAGCCAGAGCTTGCCTGGGATGGCTGTGCAGAGGGGTAGACTGTATTGCCGGGACACAGGCCCACAGCTCCACAGACTGTGGAAGCCAGACCCCACTTGGGCTGCTGAAAGCTGTGCAGGCTTCCCTGGCTCAGCTATGGACCACCATGCGGGCAGGGAGCTCAGGAAAGACCCATCCCACCCCTCTGGCTTTGCTGTCTGAAACCTCAGTGACATGTTGAGGCTGTGCACAACTGCTTCAATTCCTGACAGGCAGCTCGAAGTTTTACATGAGGGTGACCTCAGGGATGGAAAAAAGCCCCTTCCAAGTGATGAGGATTTCTTGTTGTTGTTGTTGCCTATTACAACTTTGGTAGCCACAGATTAATGTGTCCCACTGCTAAAGCAGCACATAGAAGTGCAAGGCAGCTGGGAGAGTGAATAGCTATGAATAAAAAAAGGGGTAGTGCAAAATGCATGAGGTAATTTTAAGGTTCCAGGCAAAGGTTAACCCCTGCTCTTTCCTTATTAATAAAGCTGCCAAAATCTTTAACTTTCCAGTTACATGGTAAAGGCAGCATGCCCAGTCCTTTGGCTACTTGCCCTTTTTGTTTTAGAAACTAAAACACAAAACATATGTTATGACTCTATATCTGGGACCAATTCTTCATGATGCTGAGCATACCAAACACCTTTGGCTTCAGTGTAAGAGCATGGGGCTCAACACTTCCCAGGACTGGACCCACTGTAGGTTTTTCCTTCCCTTTTGCATACATCTACCCTCTTTTCTTCACTCCTATGGAGATTAGTCCATGAAAGAACCACAGAGTAGACATAAATTTCAGTGAACTTACCGTTGTGGCAATGACAGTAGTTGGGTTTGGGATAACTCTGATGCTTAAAGTCACTGTTCCAGTTTTAATAAGGTATGTAGCTTTGTCCCTGGCAGATAGTAAATTGTCATCTGTTATATAGACGCGCAGTCTGTAAATCCAGTTTGTATCAAGTCCACTCTCATAGTCAAACCTCGATGCAAGAATCAGCCGAGATGTGTTGGAGCCGGCACTTGGTGAAAAGGTGAAATGATTGTTCACATTGCCTGCAAGCAGCAGCAAAACACCAAACCAATGCCAAAAAAAAAAAAAAA